CTCTTACAGTCTTTCTACTCTCTCTTTTGAAGTGTTCCCTGAGCGATAGATGCAGAAAACATTATGTAGATGTATCAGTTTGTGCAGGGCCCCCAGTGATCTGTTGATCTTTGTATTGTGTCCAGTTTTGGTTTTCTGTGATGGGCTCAATTCACTATAAAGAGGATCATCTCTGGTGAGGGGTGGTAACGATAATTATCTGACATTTGAAGGTATAAGGATGAGATTTCAAATTGTAAGGAATTATGCCAATCTCACTATAAGTTGTAATACATTTTTCCCGCTAAGATCTATGACTTTGCTATTCCTGGGAAGCTGGCTAGATTTTCAGCACCAGGCATGATTTCCCTATTGTTGAGTGGGCCATTAATATCTGCATGAAAATAGGAGGTAGGCATGGAATCCTACCACTAGCTGAGGAGTGAATTGTACTTGATAGCTTCTGGGAGAGGAAGAGTCAGCTTTTGTGAATGACATGGCCCCTGGTAGGCTGACCACACTTCTGGGCAGGCCCAAGTAGTTGGCCAGCACAAATTAGACTCAGTGTCAGGGAAAGAAGAAACTCCATGTTACATGGGTAAGAATGTAAGGGTATAGAGGATGGGTTTGGGATGAGTTAAGGAATGCGAATATGACCAAAATACACTGTATAAAATCTCAAAATAATCAATTGAGTGTTATTTCTTCATAAGGATAAGCAGAATTCTGATTGGTGAACATGATTGGAGAAAGTACTTTAAATAGGGGATGGAAAAAGTTCTCTGGATTTAACTGTGCTTGCTGCTCTTTCAGAGGTCAGGAGTTCAATTCCCAACACATGCCAAGAGACTCACAACTACCTGAAACAGGGAATCCAATGACTTCTTCTTGCTTTTGCAGGTACCTGAACAGACATGAAATTCACACAGAGAAAAACACGGGGTCTCTCTCTCTCTCTCTCTCTAGTGTGTGTGTGTGTGTGTGTGTGTGTGTGTGTGTGTGTGTGTGTGTGTTTCTCTCAAAGAAAGAGAAAAATAAGAGAAACCTTTAAAAAAAACTTAATCTATACAGGCAAAATTTTGGTCTATAATAAAAAACTTAAGTTGGACTCCTGGAATCCAGTTGTAGACAGGGAGGCCTGATGAGCAAAGGAGTCAAGACCATGCTGTGGAAATCCACAGAAACAACTGACCTGAGCAAGTGGAAGCTCAGACATCTCAGTCTGAAAGCTGGGAAACCAGCATAGGACTGAACCAGGCCCCCTAAACATGGGTGTCAGTTGGGAGGTCTGGGCAGTCTATGGGGCCTCTGACAGTGGAACCAGTATTCATCCCTAGTGCACAAATGGTCTTTGGGAGCCCATTCCCTATGGGTGCCCATTCCCTATGGAGGGATACTCTCAGCTTAGATATACAGGGGAGGGCCTAGGCCCTGCCCCAAATGATGTGACAGACTTTGATGATCCCCCCATGGAAGGCCTCACCCTCCCTGAGGAGTAGATGGGGATGGGGTAGGATGTTGGTAGGGGGAATGAAAGGATGGGAGAGAGAATGAACTGGGACTGGTATGCAAAATAAGATTGCTTTTAATTTAAACAAAAATTAATTTAAAAAGAACAGAAAACCATTTGAAACATTCTACAGTGAGACAATGATTGAAGCCTGGGGAGCTTGTTGGATAACACGGGTTAGAAGGATAAGATCCTAGAGACAAAGTTTTGGAATAGTCAAAGCTGATATTGTTTCAGTAAAAAATGAAAAGCATGTGCTGGAGAGATGGCTTGGTGGTTAAGAATACTGGCTGCTCTTTCAGAGGACCCAGGTTTAATTCCCAGCACCTACATGATGGTTTACAACTGCCTTTCTCTCCAGTTTCTGCAGGCACACCCATGGTACCCAGTCATATATGTAGCTCAAACACTCATAAATATAAAATTTAAAAAATGAGATAAGTACTATAAAAATGGGAAAGCAAAAAGGATGTTGAAAAAGATGATGAAGGAGCTCGTCCAAACTCACTGAATGTGTGTGTGTGTGTGTGTGTGTGTGTGTGTGTGTGTGTGTGTATGTGTATACACTTGTCCATGAAAAGCCACATGCTTGTCAAGGCCAGAAATCAACATTGTCCTCCTCTATCCCTCTCCACTTTATTGATTGAGAGATGTCTTATTAAATCCAGTACTCCATGATTGGCTAGACTGGCTGGCCAGTGAGCTCCAAGGATCAGCCTTTATCTTGAATCCGGGTCCCCATGCTTGTGTGTCAGGCATATTATCAATGGAGCTATCTCCCCAGCCTTTCAGGGAATTGTTTTAATTATAGGAAGAAAATAGAGGGCACTAAAAGAGAAATGGGAGACATAATTTCCCACAAACTTTAGGTATGTAAAGATCAATCAAAACAAAACAAAAAGCACCACCACCATAGCAACAAAAAAAGCTCTATGAGATCATTAAGAAACATCTTATGCAATGGCTCCTTCCTAATGCTTCAATCCTTTAATACAGTTCCTCATGTTGTGGTACCCACACATGCACATACACAGACAACATAAAATTATTTTGTTGCTTCTTCATAACTGTAATTTTGTTCTGTTATTAATCAGAATATAAATATCTGATATATGGCCCCCAGATGGGTCCTAAACACAAGTTAAGAACCACTGATCCTGTGTCAGAGAAGAGAAAGATGGAGAAAATTTTATGGCTTGCTTACCCCTTATTTAAGAAATTAAGGGATGCAAACATGTGGATACCACCAATAATAGATTGTCAGGCTCAGTCAATGGTAGTACAAAATCAATATTTGAACTAGAAGTTTGTCATAGAAAAGCAGGCTGGGTCATCCCATGTACAAGTGTTGGAGAATCTGAAAGATAGTTCTGGAGTTGACTACTCATGGAATCCTGAAACACGAGAGCAAGGCCATGCTTTAACCTACTCTGCCTTGGTGCCAGTGGATAAACAGAGCTATTCAGTGCCTCTCACTTATCGTTGCAAAGCCTCCTGTGCTACACTTAGAGCTTTACAATTATTGCCTTTAGAAATTGGTGCCTATATCTTCCATTTTTCTTGAGAGGTCTTTGGTTTAGTCTTAGCCCGATGATTAACTCTGGTCTCTTGCAGTTCTATTAAATATCCCATCCTACCAATACTGTGGCTGATGTGATTATGGCTCATCCAGGCAGTGCCCTAAGGAAGTTACTCACCTTTCCTAAGTTATACAGTAGAATCCACACCCTTCAGGTACAGTCTTCTTGATCAACCCAGCCACTATGGGAAGCTGACAGGCCACAGCCAGCTGCATCATTCCTCCCCTCACAGTTCACCCCTACTCAGCTTCCTGATAACAAAGCCCTAAAGGAAATCTGACTAGCAGACAGGAAAAGTGACCACCAGATGCATTACACACTAACTAGATCCGATGCTCCTCCAGAAGCCCCCTATCCAAGAATGTCTTTGAGAGTTTTCAAAACCCTCCTCAGAAATACTCTCTTCTTTCAAAAGAAAAAAGTGTCTCTAATCTAATATGGTGATGTCAGTAAACCTTGGACCCATTTGCCAATGGTACAACTCTTTCTTCTCCCCCTACTCTCTCACAAAGAACCTCCCCAAGCAACATAACACTCTTCTTCAAATCCTGATGCATTGTCAGCTCGAATCAACCCTTTGCCTGAAGGTTGATGTAACTCTGTAATTTTTTCTCCAATTAGGTGTCTCAAACCCTAAAACCTAACAAAGCCCAGTGTGCAGGGAAAGCATGACAAATTATCTTCGATGGGGTTTCTGCAATGATGCCCAAAAACAATCCAAGGGGAGAAGCTGATTACAGAATGGCAGAAGCACATTCTTAATAATAGAATGCCATTTGGAAATACAGTTACTATTGCTAAGCTGTGTCTTAATTTGTAATAGAAAAAAAAATGGATTTTTTTTTTTAAAGAAGAAATTGTCCTTAGAATATTATGGAGCTTGACAATCATGAAAGATTTTTGCATATCTTCCAAGGAAGGCTTAGCAAGAAAAAATTAATTATACTGGAGTATCAATGCATTGTTCCTCTCAAGTGTATATATTTTTAGAATTCCTTATCCCCCCCTCCAAATTTCATGGTTTTGTGCTTCTCTGTTGTAGCATTCTGTGTAATAAGAAATAGACAATGCTGTTTTCGAATCGTAGAAATGGTTTGGGGCAGCAAGGAAGATGGTTCTGTGTGGTGGTGTGAATGAGAATGGCCCCATAGGCTTATGTTTGAGTATTTGGTTCCCACTTAATTGAACTTTGGGGAGTAATCAAGAGACATGACTTTGCTGAAAGAGTTGTGGCCCTGTTGAAAGAGGTGAGTCACTGTGCTGGGGGTGGACTTTGAGGTTTCAAATGTCCACATTAGTCCCAGTCTGACTGCAATTTGCATACTACATGCTACTGCTCCAGTGTCATACCAACCTGTCTTCCAGCATGCTTCCTGCCATGACGGTCATGGACTAACCCTCTGAAACTATAAACAAGAACCTGACTAAATGCTCCTTTAATAAGCTATCTTGGTCCTGGTGTTTCATCACAGCAATAGAACAGTAACTAAGACAGTAAGGCTACTTGACAACAAACAAGCCTGATGGCCTGAGTTTGATCTGCAGGACCCACAAGGTGGAAGGAGAGCAGACTCTCACAAGTTGTCCTCTGACCTCCACAATCTTGCTATGGTATGTGCACACTCATACACACATATTTATACTCACACAAGATAAATAAATGTAAAATAAATTAAGATATTTTGTCAGAAATCTGAGATTTCTACAAACAAAACATAAAACCAATTTACGAAAGACTTCAGTGGTTGTCAAGTATAGTCACAGGACCAGAGGTACTGTTTACACTATTACAAAAAACAAACCAAAACAAAACAAACAAAAACCTCTATTCTGTTTATTTTCATAATTTACTAAAAGATAGGAAGCAAATGGGACTTTTGAATTGTTCCTTGGTATATTTTATAATAATTTATTCTTTCTTTTATTTTCAGGTATTTCCAGTATGGACACTGAAGAGACAAATTTTTATCTTTTTAAATATGACCTTAGTTTCTAGAGTCATTGGGTCTCGATGGTTTCCTAAAACTCTACCTTGTGATGTCAGTCTTGATGCCAAAAATACCCATGTAATAGTGGACTGCACAGACAAGCATTTGACAGAAATCCCTGAGGGTATTCCTACTAACACCACCAACCTCACCCTTACTATCAACCACATACCAAGCATCTCTCCAGACTCCTTCCGTAGGCTGAGCCATCTGGAAGAGATCGATTTCAGATGCAACTGTGTACCTGTTCTACTGGGATCCAAAGCCAATGTGTGTACCAAGAGGCTACAGATTAGACCTGGAAGCTTTAGTGTACTCTCTGACTTAAAAGCCCTGTACTTGGATGGAAACCAACTTCTAGAGATACCTCAGGATCTCCCATCCAGTTTACAGCTTCTGAGCCTTGAGGCCAATAATATCTTCTCCATCACCAAAGAGAATCTAACAGGACTGGTCAACATTGAAACACTCTACCTAGGTCAAAACTGTTATTATCGCAATCCTTGCAATGTTTCCTATTTGATTGAAAGAAATGCCTTCCTCGTTATGAGAAATTTAAAGGTTCTTTCACTGAAAGATAACAATGTCACAGCTGTCCCCACCATTTTGCCATCTAATTTAATAGAGCTCTATCTTTATAACAATATCATTACAAATATCCAAGAAGATGATTTCAATCACCTCAACCAATTGCAAATTCTTGACCTAAGTGGAAATTGCCCTCGATGTTATAATGTCCCGTATCTTTGTACACCATGTGAAAATAATTCCCCCTTACGGATCCATGACAATGCTTTCAATTCATTGACACAATTAAAAGTTTTACGTCTACACAGTAACTCTCTTCAGCATGTACCCAAAGTATGGTTTAAAAACATGAGAAGCCTCCAAGAACTAGACCTCTCACAAAACTACTTGGCCAAAGAGATTGAGGAGGCCAAATTTTTGAATCTCCTCCCCAACCTGGTCCAGTTGGATCTGTCTTTCAATTATGAGCTGCAGGTCTACCATGCATCTATAACTTTACCACAATCTCTCTCTTCACTGAAAAACTTGAAAATACTGCATATCAAGGGATATGTCTTTAAAGAGCTGAAAAACTCTAGCCTTTTTGCATTGCATAATCTTTCCAGTCTTGAAGTTCTTGACCTTGGCACTAACTTCATAAAAATTGCTGACCTCAACATATTCAAACAGTTTGAAAACCTCAAACTCATAGATCTTTCTATGAATAAAATATCCCCTTCAGAAGAGCCAAGAGAAATTGGCTTCTGTCCTAATGTCAGAACTTCTGTAGGTGGGCATGGGCCCCAGGTCCTAGAGGCTTTACATTATTTCCGATATGATGAATATGCACGGAGCTGCAGGTTCAAAACCAAAGAGCTGCCTACTTTCTTACCTTTGAATGAAGACTGCCACATGTATGGGCAGACCTTAGACCTAAGTAGAAATAATATATTTTTTATCAAGCCCTCTGATTTTCAGCATCTTTCTTTCCTCAAATGTCTCAACTTGTCAGGAAACACCATTGGACAAACTCTTAATGGCAGTGAATTCCAGCCATTAAGAGAGCTGCGGTACTTAGACTTCTCCAACAACCGGCTTGATTTACTCTACTCAACAGCCTTTGAAGAGCTCCACAATCTGGAAATTCTAGATTTAAGTAGTAATAGCCACTATTTTCAAGCAGAAGGAATAACCCATATGCTAAATTTTACCAAGAAATTACAATCTCTGAAGAAACTCATGATGAATGACAACGACATCTCCACTTCTGCCAGCAGGGCCATGGAAAGTGACACTCTTAAAGTTCTGGAATTCAGAGGCAACCACTTAGATATTTTATGGCGAGAAGGTGATAACAGATATTTGGCCTTCTTCAAGAATCTGACTAATTTAAAGGAATTAGATATCTCCAGGAATTCCCTGAATTTCTTGCCTACTGGGGTGTTTGAGGGTATGCCACCAAATCTAGAGACTCTCTCCTTGACCGAAAATGGGCTAAAACATTTCTCTTGGGATAGCCTCCAGTTACTGAAATATCTGAAAATTTTGGACCTCAGCCACAACCAGCTGACAACTGTCCCTGAAAAGTTAGCCAAATGTTCCAAAAGTCTCACAAAACTGATTCTTAAGAATAATCATATCAAGTATTTAACAAATTACTTTCTAGAAGATGCTTTGCAATTGCGCTATCTAGACCTCAGTTCAAATAAGATTCAGGTCATTCAGAAGACCAGCTTCCCAGAAAATGTCCTCAACAATCTAGAGATGTTGCTTTTACATCACAATCACTTTCTGTGCAACTGTGATGCTGTATGGTTTGTCTGGTGGGTTAATCATACAGATGTTACTATTCCTTACCTGGCCACTGAAGTGACTTGTGCGGGACCAGGAGCACACAAAGGTCAGAGTGTCGTATCCCTGGATCTGTATACATGTGAGTTAGATCTCACTAACCTGATTCTGTTCTCAGTTTCCATATCTTCAGTCCTCTTTATGATGGTAGTTATGACAACAAGTCACCTCTTTTTCTGGGATATGTGGTACATTTACTATTTCTGGAAAGCCAAGATAAAGGGGTACCAACGTCTGCAATCCATGGAGTCTTGCTATGATGCTTTTATTGTGTATGACACTAAAAGCCCAGCTGTGGCAGAATGGGTGTTGCAGGAGCTGGTGGCTAAATTGGAAGATCAAAGAGAGAAGCATTTTAATTTGTGTCTAGAGGAAAGGGACTGGCTCCCAGGACAACCGGTTCTAGAAAACCTTTCCCAGAGCATACAACTCAGCAAAAAGACAGTGTTTGTGATGACACAGCAATATGCAAAGACAGAGAGTTTTAAGGTGGCATTTTATTTGTCCCATCAGAGGCTCATAGATGAAAAAATGGATGTGATTATCTTGATATTCTTGGAGAAGCCTCTGCATAAGTCTAAGTTTCTTCAGCTCCGGAAGAGGCTATGTGGAAGTTCTGTCCTAGAGTGGCCTTCAAATCCACAAGCTCACCCATACTTTTGGCAGTGCCTGAAAAATGCTCTGACCACAGACAATCATGTGGCTTATAGTCGGATGTTCAAGGAAACAGTCTAACTCTTTGCAGAATGTGTACACATGTGTAAATGGGCCTAGATGCCTACCTATTTCACAAAGATTTCAATAAAAGAATGTCCGAACATTTCCCAACAGCTGTCATTGCTCAGATCAGTGGGACATCATCAATACATGACAAGAAAATTAGGAAAAGGAGATTAATAGACTAATTTCTTTCTTCTTTCTTTGTGTTACCATCCATATTAAAATATCTTCCCCAGCTCATCTATAAAATATTTTTTGAAGAAGGGTGGCTAGGAGGAAACATAAGGTTCTGATTGATCTGCATGCCTATATCTGCCCTTTAAAAAGGACTAGTATTTTCAGTAATAGGGTAAAAACTATTCAAGCTCTGTCTCTCTGATACTAAACTGTACCAGAATTCAAGGAGATAAAAGCAGAGAAAACTTCTCAACAAATTGTGCCACTATCGTATAGGGTTCCCTGAAGTACCAAATTCTGGTACTGTATAGTTGGTAGTTGCTTCATTGCCTTTTACTCATTTCTCTGGGGATCATTGATGGATTCTGTGGGGAAATATAGAAACATTTTTGTCATCCACAGACATGGTCAATTTATAAATGGAAAAAATAAAATAATACTCCTCCAGCAAAATTATTTTCTTAGCCTTTGACAATAATTTTCTGCTGAAATATGTTATGTACATGTCAAATACCATTTCCAAAATAAAATGTTCTTTAAAATGTCTGTGTTAATTAATGTTTTTTTGTGAACCAGTGACAATATTTGTAAGTATCTGCAACCATGGTGCATCAATATTAGATGGTTTCTGTGATAAACCCGAAAGGGAGGTTGAAAGAATATGTATTTAGGGTTGTCAAGGATGACAAATTAGATGAATGTCAATTGTATAACTTTATTTCTGTTTTTAATGTACATAGAAATGACAGAGAGGTTAAATGAACTTAGCACTGGGTAATCAGGAAAGTGTGTGTGTGTGTGTGTGTGTGTGTGTGTGTGTGTTTAATGTGTGTAACTATTTGTGCCTCTATGTGCGAATGTGTGTGTGTGTGTGTGCGTGCCTGTTTGTGTCTCTATGTATGAAATGTGTGTGTGTGTGTGTGTGTGTGTGTGGGTGGGTGGGTGGGTGTGTACCACATGACAATCTCAGGTGTCCTTCTCAGGAATGATATCCACTTCTTTTAAGACAATTTTCTTCTATTGTTGTGGAACTCAACAATTAATTTGGACTGGTTGAACAGCAAATCCTGAGGCTCTGCCTCAGAGCTTGGAGTATCTGGTGCCAAATCTGGCATTTTTACATAGTTTCTGGCTATCAAACTCAGGCCCTCATGCTTGCAAAGCAAATACCTCACTGACTAAGCCATCCTTCCAGCCTGAAAACATCGATTTTAATTTCAGCTTTCCTATTCAAACGTATCAGAAAGAACCCAGATATCATTAAGATAAACTTGGTATAAAATCACACGGGTTAAGAAGTTTCAAATATGACCAGCTTGCCATTTGGGAAATAATGTGGATAGGTTTCAAAACCTGAAGTGTTAGCTTAGGGGAAGTGTATTTTCTTCATATGTGAAAATAACAAGTTTTACTTTAGGTATATCTGGGAAGAAATAGTGTATAAATTGTTTCCAAAGGAAACAATTGAGAAGGTTTGCAAATTTCCAAACTAACCTATGGGACAACAGAGAAGTAATTACACTTACTAGAGTCAGACATTTCCCCATTTCCCTGAGATTAATGGTGTTTAATACATAATGTTAATCTTCAGTGAAAACAGATAATGCCACAAAAATCAATACATAGCTGCTATATATTTTCTTCTACCAACACACATAAATTCATAAAAATTTATGTTATCTTGATGATTTATAAAGCATAAATCACTTTGAGACAACTTAAGTATCTTCTGAAAAGCATTAAGAGGAAGGGAAACTAAAAACGCAAGTGTATTTCCACATGACTTTAAGTACAGTTGTTAGATGTGATAAAACAACTCAGAACACAACAAGAGACGTTTATTGTTGCATACCTTTATTGTCATGACGAGTCACTCTTTTAATGACCTCAGAGCTCTCTGTGGTGGTCTACATATAGAGTGCACAGTCCATAGCCATCACCTCAAACAATGATGAAAACTTTATTCCTTGGTTTCATAGAAAACCCTAAACAAAATCTTTCTCTGCTGATCTAATGGCTATGTCCCAGGAAGGACTTGAAAATTCTCCATAAATCTCACTCCACCATCAAAATTTGGCTGCTAGCTCCTTGCAACCATGGCACTGATGCGGGTATGACTTTTGGCCTGGATGGGTATTTTGCCTTAGAAAGATGTGGATATGTTTATAGTCCCAGATGTGGGGCATTGGGCAGAGGACACAATATAACTAAGAAAAGACAAAGTGGGCACCTTCAATATGGAGCACGCTATTCCTGACTCAGATTCTCTGGATCCAGACAGCATCCTATATATTTGCAGCTCTATCTATCTGAACATCTTAGGTTTCCTAAAGGTAGTAAAGGAATATGGAGTATATAAAGGAATGCAGTAATCTGAGAATGTGAGCATCTTGTATCATCCCAAAAGAAGCTATGATGAGAGTAATGAGGGCACACAATTCTTTGTGGTAAAACCTGTCCTCCAATCTTAGAACAAGCCTTTTACAACTGGAGAGATGGTTAAGAGTTGTGGAAAGCACTGTATCCTCTTCCAAAGAACTCTGGTTCAAGTCCCAACATCCACAAGGTGACTCACAGCCATCCTAAATTACATACAGTTCCAAGGTAGCTGATGTTCTCTTCTGGCCACACTGGTACTGCACAGATGTGGAAAACAGACACATCCAGACAAAGCATCCATACACATAAAATGAAACAAAACAAATCTTTTTCAAAATTTAAAATATAATTACATAAATTCCCCCTTTCCCTTTCTTCCCTCTAATCCCTCCTGTGTATCCCTAATTTCTGCCACGACCTACATGGCTTTGAGAATAACCTAACTGGGACAACAAGGAATGAAGATATAACAGACAGACATACAGAAAAGCTGGAATTTGGTGGGCTGTCCATCCTGATGGAGATACTCCAGCAGCAGAGAAACTTAGCACATTTCTTATACACAGCACAAAGGAAGAGATGGGTTAGCTAATTTCAGTAAGGAGTTTCTCTGAGGGAAGGGGGAATCTCAAACTACAGTTATCTAAGAGGAAGAAACTTTGCTTCATACTTTTTACACATGTCATCAATATACATCCATACTTCCACCCAGAAAAGGCTTTGCCATTTCATGGGTCCGGGGCATCAGAGTCCTTGACATGGCCCTGCATGTGTCAATAACACACATTTACTTGGGACTTTATTCTCTCCTCCACAGATAAATTTCTTTCTTTCCCTCTGTTCTTCCTTTGTCTCTCCATTTCTCTGTTTCTTTTTGGTTCTAGAAGGCCATGGAAAGCCTCTAGGAATTTCTAACAAAAGATGTTAGTCAGGGTTGTATGTGAACTATTCATTGGCCAATTATTTATGTGTGACTGTGGGGATAAAAACTATTTCACATACCTACTTTAGTGAGTATGATTGTCTATAATTGGCTTAGCAATACCTTTCTCTGCCATGTTCAAATGCAGATTCTTCCTTCCTTCCCTCCTTCCTTTCTTGTTGCTAATTGTTTTTTGATATAGGGTCTCTTTGTGTAGCCCTAGCTATCCTTGAACTAGCTCTCTGTAGCCCAGACAGGCCTCAAACCCACAGAGATCCATCTGCCTACCTCTGCCTATAAAGGCATGTGCAACCAACACCTGGCTCAGATTCCTTCTTCTTATCTCAACTTCCAACCATAGGAATTAAGAAACTGGATGCAACCAGGTACTCCACCTTGAAGGTTACCTGAATTTCAGATAGTAGTTCATTTCTAACACATTTTTGTGACATATCAGTGACTGTACTTCTTTGTATGCTTATCATTGCCCCTTCTTGATGATGTACATTAATGTAAACTTTTGGAAAAGCTCACAGACTTAAAATGGCTGAAGAGGTTTGAGTCACATTGTCTCAAAATGGATACTCTCCAGAAGTCATCTGATAGGATCTGTAGGGAAAGAGGAAGTCTACTAGATTTGTAGAAGACATCCCTCAAACCTAGCAGCTGGCAGTGGGAAGAAGGCAGTTACCTCAACAGAAAGAAAAAAAGCTTTTAATGTTCTTCCAGCTATGTGCAACTCCCAAGGCTAAGGCTAGGCAGATGCATAACAAGAACACTATCCTGTTTTTGTTCACCAAACACTAGCACATGATATCACTATCAGAGGCAATGCAGTGGAATGAACATTACAGCAGCAAACTGTAAGAGTTGAGTTGACATTTCGTGAGGAAAAAAAAGGTATCGCCAGTTCTTCTGTCTTATTCTTAGGCCTGTATTTCTCACCATGTAGCTGCCTTTAGATTGGGGCATCATGGCTGAAAATTCCTGGGTAACATAACCCACAAGAGACTGCTTTAGTGTATCATTATTATTATTATTATTATTATTATTATTATTATTATTATTATTACTGTTTGTTGATAGATCATGACTATCCAGGTTAGGCTAAGGACTAAATGGGGAAAATACATTTTGTTTGGGCCAGATGTTTGGGGCTTTGGTTTTGTTTCTGTTTTTCTGAGATATGGTATTGCTAGGTAGACCAGATTGGCCTCAAGATTGTAGTAATTCTTCTTCCTCAGACTCTTAAATTCTGAGATTATAGATGTGTGTTCAAGATTGCTTCTTGGAGAATGTGTTTTAAAATATTCTCTCTCTCTCTCTCTCTCTCTTTTTTTTTTTTTTCCTGTTCGTGAGGGCTAGCCATAAAAGGGATTGACGTGCTAAGAGAAAGTGATTAGGATCTTAGGAAGAATTTCACAAGATGAAATCACTAGTGTCCCAACACAGTTCTCCAGTGCTGGTGTGAAAAAGAAAGAAGTTACATTTATTAAGCAGCAAATGCAAACTCAATGCTTAATTTATTCCATTAAATCATTTTATCAAGTCCATAAGATTGGTGTTAATGGTTTTATCTTAAGATTACAGAATTCAAAACTGACGGAGTGATCAGAGGTGAAGGCGACTGCTCAAGTTACAGAAAAAGAAACTGACCCATCCAAAACAGACTTATCTCTATCTAACATGCGTAGTTGTTTGTCTTCATTTTATCTGGGGCTAGAGCCTCTCAATAGGCTTGGAAAGAATGTGCATTCCAGGACATACCAGACCAGTAATTCTGGTCTCAGGGGCCAAGCAATGTGCACTTCAGCAACTAGCCCAAACATTTGTGAGGAAGCTAACCCACAGAGAAACTTGGGGAGCACGTACATCATCAGGGACACCAGCAGCTGTTCATATGTGGATCTCTTTTGCAGATAAAGCTTGAGAGCCCAAGGTGCACAAAAATCTCCTCTTTTGTGTATATCCCTTGATTCTCTTATCCTACTTCCCCATGGCACCATGGGAGTGGAGCTATACTTTATATGGAAGTGGCAATCCTGCTCAGGATTAAGATTTGTAAAAGTAATTGAACGAGAGCACTGGGACAAATTTAAGCCAATAGAATCTCAGTCCTGGAAGGACTGGTCAATGAAACTGTTATTTAAATTGCATGTGGGGGTTGGGGAGGAGAGAGAAATTTACTAAAATTCTCCTAATATCTTCCTAAATACCTAGACAGCAACTACA